TCCGTGTGCCCGGAGGACCAGGGAGAGGACAAACCAGAGAGACACAGGTTAGATACCGACTTTCGGCCAAGTACCAGAGACAAAGCAGAAGGGGACAGAGAGCATCGGGCCGCTGTGCGGAGGGAAGCGGCCGGTGGGTTAGCAATGGGCCTGCTGCCTAGAAGGCAGGGTCCTAAGGGCTGAGAATGAAAAGTGATCATTTTGGATAGAAGGGACAGAGGGTGAGAGTGAGTGGGTGTGGCCATCCTTGCTGTGTTAGAAGGTCGAGGTGAAGTGCCACATGTTGTGCGATGCTTGTTGGGATGTTGGGAGTTGACGTGTCTCCCGAGTGCATCTGAGGAGCCCAAAGGGGTTGCTGAATGCACAAACGGTATTTCAGGCTGTGGGGCAAAAAGTGACTTTAGTCCAGTGGGCCACTGGTCTGTCTGCCAGGGCTGTCCCAGCTTGAGCACGGAAGTCCACTTCCCAGCAAAGCAGGATGGTCATTCTCACTGGAGGGGACAGGACAGGCTGAAGGAGAAAGCAGGGCGGGTGGGAGCTGGGTGCCCGCAGGGCGGGGCCCAAGGTCCAGGGCCCAAGAGGGGAGTATATGACAGACGACAGAAGGAATGAGAAGGCGAGTGGTTGTGGGTGGTAGAACAGAGGGGCACGCCTTGGAGCTCAGCCGGGGCCGTGATGCATGCCTGTAATGCCAGCACTGAGGGAGGCTGGAGAGAGGAGGACCAGGGAGAAGACAAACCAGACAGACACAGGTTAGATACCGACTTTCGGCCAGGTACCTGAGACTAAGCAGAAGGGGACAGAGAGCATCGGGCCGCTGCGCGGAGGGAAGCTGCCGGTGGGTTAGCAGGGGGTCACAAGTTCAGGTCCTGCCTGGGCAGCTAAGTGAGACCCTGTCCAAACAAAAAAAAGCAGGGATGGAGCATAGTGGTAGAGCACCCCTGGGTTCAATTCCACATTCCACATTCCTCAAAACAAGAAAAAAAAAAGTGTGTTTGAAGCTCAGAAGGCATGCGCTTAGCCTCCCTCTTGAGTGAGCCAGGCAGAAGGGCAAATGCCATCAAGGCCATGTCCATGGAGAAGCTGGCAGTGCCCGGCACTGGCGGTATCCTGACGGGTTTTTTCTCCGGGGAGGCATTGTCCTGGCCGCGGTCTGACTGGTGTTGCGCTGCAGACAGTCTCTGCTTGGTCCCCATAGCCCATGGAGGCCACAGGTGCGCTGGCTGAAGTCTCAGCCATGCAGCTTTCTAGGAAGACCGAGAAGAAAGCTGGGCTCCTGGGATGGAGAGAGGGCGGGGGAGGATTTTTAAAGCTGCATGGAGTTGTTCCGTGGTGAAACCAACACGCCCTCCCGCGCCTGCACACAACTGGAGCTGTGTTCTGTTGTTACCCATCGCTCGTGATCCCAACAGGTTTAGAAGTTTATTAGGCAGTAAAGAAAATATTGAGGAAATAGTATTTGTGTTTTCATATTGGTCACTTGGGTGTGAATTTAATCTACTGTAACTCAAACAGCTTTCATTTATTGCACATTGTTACTGGACTGTTTTATGGCTCATTGCTGTGGTTTCAATGTGTCCCCCCAAGCTTTTTGCTGGAAAGTGGATCCCAGAGAGTGGGACCTCGGTCTTGAGGGCTCTGTGGTGATGGATGAGTGCGGGACTGCAGGAGTGGGTCGTTATCTCAGAGTGGTTGTCCTGAAAGGTCCTCCCTTGCTGTCTTCCCTCCCCTGTGGGATAGCGCAGCAGGAAGGCCCTCACTAGACGCTGGCACCTTGATCTTGGACTTCCAGCCTCAA